GTAGAATTGTAAATGTTCTGACTTCTGCCTTCAGTTCCTCTTGTTCCTTAGTTTTTCTAGCTAAGACCTGCTGCAGCACAGCATACTGCCATACTGCTACTCCAAGGAGAGCAAAAATCTGATTTTCTATAGCAAATCCACCTCTGCTGCACAGTGTGGCTTATAAAGAATTTAGTTCTCTTGTAAGCCATGGGTCAATTTGTGCCACCCCTGCAAGGGTTTAGGAGCTGGTATGAGAGGGAATTTTGAATGAACATGTTAGGGATTAGGGATAATAAGCCTTCTTTGATGATAATTAATCAGTTTGCTGCCTTGTTAGAATTCTTGGTGTTTAGATGGTGTTGCTACCTTAAACTGATTTTTCTTATCATTCATATATGTTCTTTTGGAAACATTTGAAAGGTTGTGAGTAACGGGGGTGCTTATGTTTGGGTGCTTGTACTTGGACCCCAAGTTCTCCCTAGCCTCAGAAACACTATCCCTGACAGTTTCTCCCCAGCCCAAGGACACTATACTTATCAATTACTCATGAGCGGGCCCCAGCAAGACCCTTATCTCTCTCCTTGGTACAGTTATAAAACAGCAGCTGAAGGAATTATTAGTTTGAACTGCCTTTGCACTGGGTCATAAAGACATTTTCACCCACTGGACAATGTATACTACTGCCGTACCTCATTATCTACATGCTGGACTGCTCATTAACTGTATTCTAGACTTAAGACATATGTATACTCCCTACATCTCTCTTGTCAAACAAGACATTCCTTGGTTGCAGACTGGACAACCCTCAGTTACACCTGAATTCCAGTTAACTTAGTGATGTAGCAGGCCTAAAACCACACCTCCATGTGGCCTCCCTTATGGGCTTTTCCTAGTGAACTCTGGGTAAAACGCCTGCACAGTAGGTACAAGAAGTGTATGTTCGTTTAAGAACTGACCACTCCTTAACCACTCCCTTATCCCACCCCGAATCACCTAGTTAATATATTTGGCACATATTTTATTGTATTTTATCCTATATAAATTTTAACTGTACCACTTTAAGATTACAGGATCCTTAAGAATCCTTGCACACTGAAAAGCATAACAGCATATCTTTGCCACCTTGACTTAAAGAATGCTTGAGTCTGGGAATTCATTCTAGATGACCCATCGAGGACTCCACTCTGTGAGGGGGTCACAGCCTCTTATAACATAATATTTATGGCACCCAATGTGGGCCTTCTCTGAAATCTAGGGCCTTCTCCTAGTTGAGGTAAGCCTCCCCACTCCTGTCGCCCTGTAGTTGGGTTGCCCCTCAAGCACCTCAGAAGGCTTGCTGAGGAGAGGTTGAGCTTGCAACAGGCTCCAACCGATCTCCCTCTTGACAAGGGAAGCCTTGTTGGGAACTTTTGCTGGTTTTTTGTCACTCACCAGTACTTTGGTGAAGGCAAGTACACTACAGGAGCCAGTACTTGTTTTTTTTTTCCTTATATGCAAAGATGAGGGGCCAATCTCCCTGTGCATCTCTAGATTTACCCTCAGTTTATCTTTTACACAACTGGAGAAAGCTCAGTCTCCAAGACCTTAAGGAAAGTTTTGCCTCAACTCCATAAGATGTGGAGAACAATGAAAAAAAAATTGTCTGATTTGTGTAGGGGCTTTCTGACAAGCCTCTCTGAGCTTTTGGATTGTCCCTGTCATTATTATGTATCTGTTCTGTGTTTGTGTCTGTGTGTAATTTGACACCCTTTGCAGCCAGGTAGCAAGAACAGCATTCCAAGGGCTGCAGCTTGACTCTGGAATGCCGCTTTCTTTCTCTCCCCCTCTTCCTCCCTGGTAACAGCAGCCTCAGAGGAGCAGGTGGATGGGAGAGAGAAGAATACTTTATTATTTAGGTTATATGACTGGTAAAAGGCAAGTCAAGAAGGATCCTCGAAGTGTCAGGTCAGAATTAGAAAGAAATTAGATATGTGCAGTTTTAAAGGGACTTTACTCAAAGTCCATTAGAGGGATAAGTAGGTAGAAAGAAAGCAAGAAAGTTTAAGAATGTAGGAATGAGAGAAGTATGGGTAGAAAGAAAGCATAAGCTGTTTGCACGAACAGTGTGAACAGAGGGTTTGAGAGTACAGGTTTTGAAACTTTTGGAGAATTGTTAGGGAAAAAATTCTTTCTCCCTATCTCTCTTTACATTCCGACTTTGGCCAAGTTGTTGAATGTAGAAGAGAGAAAGATAAGGAGGAAAGAAGAGTGAATCTTTTCCCCTCAGATCAAAGAGAGGCAGATTGAGTAGCACTTAATCTTTTCTGCCTCACATAAAAGAGACAAGTTTTTGTGTAGCGGAACACAACCAAAAGGTAATTTAATTCATTCTAGTAATATTTCAAATGAAACGTAATGCTCTTAATTTAATGCTCAAGTCAGAATTTGTTAGACTGTTTGGCACTAAGACAAACTGGAGTTCAACTACAAGCACCCAAATATAAGCACCCAAGCAAAGCATTACTGAGGACTGCAGAGGAAAGCGATTTCTCCCTTTTGTTAGTCATATGACTAAGAATATATGATCAGATTTTGATACAAATTTCTTTATATTCTTATTGAAAGAAATCTAAAGAAAAAATTTCCTCAGAGGATGTGATTTCCAATGTAGCACTCCCCTCTTGGTCTACTCCTCTACATCATGTTTACAGGTTGGAAGACCAAGAGGTCAACAACTCTAGGTATTTGTGAGTCCACACTGAAGAACTCAAACCACTTGGCACATCTAGTTCAAAGCAAAGAAAACAATTAGAGCATTAACCTTTCCACTATAAATATGAGGCACACTTTCTCACAAATATACACAGAGTCAAGGGGAAGAGTGGTCCCATGCATGGTATGCTAGTTAAAAGATACATATAAGAAATAACCTTGGCCAAGTCAACCCAAGTCTGTGCCACTTCAAGACCCTGACTTCCGTTCTCTTATCGTGAAATTTCCATAGTGCTCTTTAAAAATGTTTTAAAATTTATGTTATTTTTAATTTATGGAATAAAAGAACCATTTCTGTAATATAGTATAATAAAAAGTGATTGCATGTGAAACTGAAAATCTATTATGCACAGCATGCTATTCCCTTTAAAGAAGTTTAAATAAACTTTTAAGAAGTTACCATGTAAATATCTTCTTTTTTTTTCTTTCCCCCCACCCTAGAGATGACTATTAGACAGAAATAGGTGTATTTGTAAAATCATTCTATAATCTATTTATCAGATCTTTCTCTTTATGCAGATAGTGTCTTTGTTTACATGCCTTTTGTAATTAATCTGGCTATTTATAATACTCAAAATGTTACTTTTTCTGGGAACAGTATCTTTGCTGGCCAGTTCTTACTGTTGGATTCCCTAGGGCTGCTTTTGTCCTTAGCTTAAGTTCTGAAATCAGAGCTGATTCTCCCTCTATTTAAAATAGAGCTGGCTAGATTGCTTATTTTTATATCAAGGCAAGGGGCATGGCTAATCTAGACTTTGCTTGCATGGCATCAGTGGCTCTCATCATATAAGCAAGAATCCTAAACACTCTCAGGTTCATCAAAAGTGGTCATGTTAACTAAGGGAGTTAAAAATATTCAGCTTTATTTAAATTTGCTTTAGGAAAAGTGAATGAGACACTCCCAAGTTTTGCAAGCTTTACTACGTGTGAATAGGACACATAGGGTGATCATTTTATGTCTGAAATGGGAAAAGTTTAAAAATCATAGACCCTTGTACTAACATGTCTGCAACACTGACTTATGGACTCAGCACTTGAAGAGTACCGATCTATGCTTTTCTCTTCTATACTCATTAAACTCTGTTCACAGCTCTGTTGTATTATGAATTGACCTTAATTTGGTAAATAACAGAGTAAGAAGGAGCCACCTAAAATGTAATAACAGTAACAGGGGAAAGAAACCAAATGAACATGGCTCAGGCTCCGTGCTTTATGATGAAGACTCCATAGATATAATGGTGATTAAGAGAGGGATTGTTGGCTTTTTATTTATTTTTTCTTTTCCCCCAGTGAGTTGAGTCCTGGAGGAAAAAGAAAGATGGTCTTGGAAAGATTCTAGATATAGAACTCTAAAAGGATATGGGCCTTGAAATTATGAATATCCCTTCCTTAAAAAAAAAAGAAAGTGAAAATGAGAATGGAAACATGTTTCTGAGTATACAATTAAATATTCAGCAGGTGGCAGTAGAGCTAGATATTCTGGCTGATGAGAATGCTACTTGAACTATGAGGATCATCTCTTAGAAATCTGAGCCATACTTGCTCCATAAATCAGATATTAGGTCAGTGTCACATAGAATAACAGTTTCTCTCTCCCATTAAATAGGCTATGTCTCTCTGAGGAAAAAGGTGTTTGTTGGAGGAGACTTGCAAATCTCTTATTGTGAATTGTGACTTTCATAACTCAATTTCTCCACCTAGAAGATTTAAAAACGTATATGAGCTATTCCTATTAATGCAATGAGTGAGTATAACTGAAACTATGGGTAAATAATTTAGGTGAAATGTAATCCTAGGAAAAAGGAGATGAAAAGTTGAGTTAGGAAGCAGTAGAGTACCAAGGATCAGGAAAAGAGGCCCTGAGAATAAACTGATTCACAAACGAGATTCGATCTGTTGGTCAAAGGAAATGGAAGATGTTTGAGGAGCTTTGACAATCAGAAATGGGCCTAAGATCAATTAGAAATTTATTAGGAGCGAAGAAAAGCCTACTACATGTCATCCAAATGTTTAGAGTTATAAGTGATGTGGGGTCATTGACACTGAGTCAAAACCATCAGTTCTGAGAGTCTCAGTGTCAACAACATTCCCCAGTCCTTTGGAACTAGTTCTAAGAGAACTTTCCGAAGTTCAGGAAAGAAACTTCTCACTGGAACTTTTTCCACTTTTTGAATAAAAGAAGACATGCAAATTGGGTCCGTCCCTACTGGGATGAAAAGCAGCACCAAACCTGTACCTGTACCTCCTGCGGGAGACAGAATCAAGTGCTCTGTGTCCTTTCCCACAGAGGACTAACCTGGAAACTCACCATGAAATTTAGGCTGAACTGGATTTTCCTTCTGACCATTTTTCAAGGTAGTTTTATGGAGAGGAAGGGACAATACAAAGTGGTGACTTCATGTGACTATTGACTTTAATGCAATGTCTCTGTGTTGCAGGTGTCCAGTGTGATGTGGAGCTGGTGGAGTCTGGGGGAGATGTGATACAGCCTGGGGGATCTCTGAGTCTCTCCTGCAAAGGTTCTGGATTTACTTTCAGCAGCTACTACATGCATTGGGTCCGCCAGGCTTCAGGAAAGGGACTGGAATGGGTTGCAAGAATTAGCACTAGTGGAAGTAGTACATACTATGCAGACTCTGTGAAAGACCGATTCACCATCTCCAGAGATAATGGCAACAGCATGTTATATCTACAAATGACTTCCCTTCAGACTGAGGATACAGCTGTGTATTACTGCACAAGAGGCACAGTGAGGAAAAGGAATGTGAGACCTGATAAAAAACTTCCCCTGCCAGGAGGTGAAGTGTCAGTGAGGCAAGAAGTGGACTGAGCTCATGATGCAGAAAGTAAAAGATGCCTATATCCAGGAACAGGTATAGTGAATTTCTATTTATGGCTTGTGGTGTTTTTTCTTCTCTCCCAGGAGAAAGCAACTTTTCCAGTACCTAGCTATCATTCTTAATGCCTCACTCTCAGTCCCACCTCTACCCCATAATCAATTGGTAGTTATGTATTGTCCATTCTACTTTTATCAGAAATCTACTGTACTCTCCCTTCTTTCCTCAAGGTACTCCAACCACTCTGAGGTCGGCCTTTACCAACTCATACCTCGACCTTTATGGTAGCCTTAGTACTCTCTTCACTCCAGTGCACAGGAAACAATTTTCCCCAAGTTCTGGTGAATCCAGAAGAAAATATAAGTTCTCATTTGATTTTTAAATCCTTTTGCAGCATGACTCCTTCCTGTTTTATTCTACCTTAGTCCTTTCCACATGCTCATCAATCCAATGACACTGATCTCCTTGCTGTTCCTTTCACAACAGATTCCATCTCTCTACTGTGTATTTTCACTGGCTGGAATTCTTCTCCTCCTCATCCCTGCCTCCTGGCCCCCTTGACCTCCTTAAATCTTACCTAAAATACTCCCCACCTTCTACTTTCCCCATCCTCTTTAATTCCACTTTTATGCTGCATATATACACATACACACACACACACACACACACACGCACACACACAGATATAGATAATTACACAGTGCATTATTATTTCAATGTTGTGTCTCTGAATAAGATTGACCTCCTTAAAAAGAGGTACAATTTTTTTCCCTTTCTTTATATCCCAAAAACTTAGCGCTGTGCTTGGCACATAGTTTACTATGCTCAATAAATAAATACTTGTTTGTGAATTGACCTTCTGTTCCTTTTGGAATTTGGCTCTCACAAAATGCTGAGCTTTGTTTTATTTCTGATTTCCATGTTATATACATAATGAGTAAATTCTCCAACATGTTAACATGTCCATATGAGGTAATAAAATTGTATTGTTATGAATTAAATTTAACAATAAGGTAACTTAAGGCACCTTTCTCTAAAAAACAATACCTTCTATTATCAAAGCTGGTAACCTGAGAACAAGATGGGTCAACAACTGCCTCAGTCTCCAGCCAAAGATCCCAAACAAAAACACCTCTCCTGTATAGATTTTGGCTAGTACAGAACAAAGAACAGAACAGTATAGGTGACATGAAGGGCTTCAGGTCAACATGACTTTTTACATAGGTGAAGTGTAGGGAACAACATGATTGTTTGGAAATTTGGAGTGGGGCCTAACACCAACCCTCCTTCTTTCCCTTTTATGAGTAAGAAGTGGTTATTTTGAGTCTACTTTCCTGTTAGAAGAGAGTGATCTAGACTTCTTCCGATAGCAAACCAGATAGCCCTGAAGGATAGTTTTGTAGTGTAAAGATATTAGAGCCAATTCCCTTATGGCAAACCATATTCCCTCAGGGTTAGCAGAATTCCTTCAGACAGGAATACACACTGATTAACAAGAGAACTGGATTTAAAACCTTAACACCTTACAGGTCAGCTGAATCCTGAACTAAGTTGAGAGATGTGGAACCATAAGTAAGTACTCAGTTATAGGGCATAATCAATTAATTGTAAATAAGATAAATGAGAAAATGATACAGGATCCATTTTATTCTTCCCCATATTATATGCATACAGCCATATCACATGCATTATGCATAGATTAAAAATGCTTTTACATAGAGACTAAAGAGTGTCCCACTCACAACTTGTAATCAAGTATAAAAAAAAGTGTTTATAGCTTTAGCTGATGTAAGTAATTTCATTAATCAACCTGAGAGGATTTTTAGGCTTGAAGTATGAAAGGAACTGACTCTACATGAGGAAGTTGTAGGGACTGGCTAACCAATAGAATCCCAAAACTGTTAAAGCAAATGGGTAAACCCTGCTCAAATGAATTATTAAAAAGGATTTAAATTCATTTTTAAAAGTAAGGAAATTCTAGTTGCTCCTCTCAGGGCCTTCTTACCCTGACACCTGAGCTTTTTATACTCAATAGCAATTAGTCACTGCCTCCTCAGCAATGTTGACTCCATTGGCACCAGAACAGAAATGTTTAGAAAAGATTTTCAATGCAGTCATCATTGCTGACATCTTGGAAAGTGAGGATTCAGCTCATCGAAACTTAATGAAAAAAACTGTGCTTGGTGTCTTGTTTACCAAACTCCATTTCTGATCACCCATTCAGTATTCAAAATGTCTGTTCATGGATGCAGATATTCTGCTAGTGACAAACGTTGATGAATTTTAAAATGTAATACTATTATTTTTGCACTTAATAGCATTTTATGTTTTCCAATTTCATGTAAAGATTGTTTTCAACATTCATTTTTACAAGATTATGAATTCTGAATTTTTCTCTCTCCCGCTTCTGTAAGATATACAAGTATGTTAAGTGTATGTTCACAGTAGTCATATTATGAAAGAAGAATCAGAACAAAAAGGAAAAACTAGGAGAAAGAAAAAAAATAGTTAAAGTAGTATGCTTTGATCTGTATTCGGACTCCATAATTCTTTCTCTGGTGTTGGATACCATGATTCATCTTGAGTCCTTTGGAAATATTTTGGATCATTGTGTTGCTGACAAAACTAAGTCCATCATAGCTGATCATCAAATAATGTAGCTGTTACTGTGCACAACTTTCTTCTGGTTCTCCTCACTTTACTTTCTTTCAGTTCAACTAAGTGTTTCAGGTTTTCCTGAAATCATCTTGTTTGTTATTTCTTACAGCACAATAATATTCTGTCACAATCATATATCCCAGCTTATTTAGCCATTCCCCAGTTCATACATATCACCTCAATTTCCATTTGTTGGCCATAACATAAGGATACCCATTGATCCAACAATACCACTGCTAGGTCTATATCCCAATGAGAATCAAAAGAGGGGAGAAGGACTTACTTGTAAAATTTAACTATGTTCTACATAATGTATGGAATTTTTACTTTCTTTTCTAAAGATTATTAAGCAGCAACTGAAAAATAAAAATACAAGTCCTGTGCCAATGAAGGGAAAAAAAAACATACAAAATTGACATAGTTCAGATTCTATGCATTATACAAGATTTCACAATCCCAATGGCTGATGTGAAAATAATTTGTTTTTATGGAAAGGTCCTAATGGACCTTGCAAACCCTTACCCTTACTTTCCTATCTTCACCCCTTCTTTCCCATTGAATAAGAGCACTGACCCACCCCCTTTCCTACTCAGTACAAAACAAAGGCAAGGTAAATAAGAGCAGGGAAAAGATACTGTATTTCCTGAGGACATAATGATGGCAGACTTGGGAGCTCTGAGTAAGGAGAGTGGTGTCTTATTTGGAAGTTCAGTCCAAAATGCTCTGACAGTGTAGAAGACAAACTCATGCCCCAAAAGGGCATAATGTGCTCAGAGTAAGTTGAGGGGGAGGTTATTATAAACTGCAAAGAGAATATAGTAGGAACTCTCTTTCTAAATGCTGAAGAAGAGGAAATGGGGAGTTGGTTTCTTGGGGTGCCTATTTGACTGTTCCACAATACATTATGGACCTATATTAGAAAGAGTATATGTGTTGGGATACAATGGAAGCTTTCTTTGCTTCTCTTGTCCATTTCATGCTTCAGTTACTCGAGGTGCAAGAGAGATATGAGAGAACATATTTGGCAGTAGAGGTAAAGAACAGGTGGATTCCAAAATTAAAAATGAGCAAAGGCACCAGAAGGAAACACAAGAGCCAATGGACGGGTGCAGAGATATAGAGGGAAAAGATACCCTTGAACAGATTCAATTCAAAATCTAAGGTAAGAGAGACTTAGGGTGTTTCCTTAATCAGAAATTGGAAAAGACTCCCCCAGAAAATATCAGTAATAGAAAAAAGGCTAATAAGCATTTCCTCGGTATTGAGAATAATTGGAGTGATGGGAAAGACCTTGTTTTTTGCATCATCAATGTCGCATATTCTTAGTGTCATAAAATGATCTCCAGGGTTTTGGAACCAGTTCTGGAGGATCATTCTTTTTGCATATCAGGGAGAGGACTAACCCCAAGGGGGTGTCAGTTGTTCTTCCTTTTATTGAAGGGATGTGGGAGATATTTTTACTTATCCTGATTTATTTCTTGCCACTGGACCCAGATGGCTGTGGAGAAGAAAGTGAGTCTGGTGACTTTTCACAGTCCTCCACCACTCTAATCCAATTCACTTGCAAGTCCTGACATCACCTTCCTGATTCCATGGTCCTCTTTGACAATGAAGGAGAAACAAGAAGAATGAAGGGAGGAGGACATGTAAACTTCTTTTTCCCTCGGTATGAAAACCGGCCAAATCCTGTAGCTCTAAGAAAGGAACTTCAGTCTTGTGTCACTTCTCTTTTATCCTGATAACTGACCCTGTAGAGCCTCCAAACTGGGATTTGAGCTGAATTGGATGTTTTTAAAATATATATTTCACATGCAATTCACAGAGCAAACAAGCATTTCCATAACACAGCACAGTAAAAAAAGATGATTGCATATAAAACTGCAACTCTACCATGTACAACATGCTATTCCTCATCTCTTTTGATAAGATCTATTTTTGCTTTTCCTTTGTCTGAGATCAGGATTGCTACCCCCTTTTTTAGTTCAGCTGAAGCATAGTATATTCTGCTCCAACCTTTACAAATTACCTTGTGTGTGTGTCACTGTTTTTCAAATGTTTCCTTTAAAGAACATATTGTAGGACTATGGTTTTTAATCCATTCTGCTATCCATTTCTTTTTTATGGGAGAGTTTATCCCATTCACATTCACAGTTATCATTACCATCTGTGTCTTTTTCTCCATCTGTTTTTTCCCCCTGTTTATGCTTCCTTTTCTCTCCTTTCTCCTTTCCCCCCCATTAGTGTTTTGCTTTCGACCACTGCATCCTTCAGTCCCTTCTCCTTTCTATTAGCCCTTTCCTTTTCTTCCCCTTTACCCTTGCTGTTTCTTCCCTCCCTTTTATTCCCCCCC